CCAAAGAGGGAAATCAGTGAAACCAGATGGGTTTATGAACCAGAACCACAGAGGGGGCTTCAAGGAAGGCAGATAAGATATAGAAAATGCAAGGTTGTGGTCAGAGAGAGAATTTTGGAGTTTTAGCTCTGGGAAGTATAATAATGCCAAAAGATGTCCAGGCTTGGCCATGATACAGAGAGCTGAATCTCTGCAGTGTTTTTTCAAATAATATAATGGTATATCTTTGACACATACCCTGAAACCAGCAAATATTAAACCTGCATGTATAATCACACAGATTTATGCACTCCTTACATATACATTTAAATATTTTATACTTATGCATTCATATCTTCTGTGTGAGTATATTTCATTTTACAATCCTATATATTCTTTGCAGAACTAGCCCAGGGATATAGTATGTGCTCAGTAGACATTGGTTTAATGGAACTAACATATTTAACTAGAGCTTTTAATTTTTGTCTTCTGCATAGTTAACTAGAATCTGCTCCAACCCCTAAATCACAACACTAAAATAATTACAGATAAAAAGATTCAGGTTTAAATTGTGGAAACCAAATCTTTAAAATAACAGTTTGATAATGGGCTTGGCGTTGTGCTTCCTAATTGTACCCTTAATCCTCGCACTGAGTTCCATTTCTTTTACCTTTGCCAAAACACAGATTCTATACCCCAGAGCGCCCAGGCTCTGAGGAATTCTCTTCATCCTCTCTGTCGTCCACCTGCAGTTCTCTCCAGGGGCCCCCACCCTCATAATCACGCCAACAGTTATATTTTAAAGCATGACACAGAGCCAGAAACTCACTGTGATGAGCTGAGATGGAGAAATGTGGAAGGTTTCTAACTTTCCCCACTTATTCCTGGTACTGCTGCCCTAACCAATTACTCTTTGAGTAAAATTCTTTCTCCTGGGAATGGGGAAATGGCAGCACTGACTTTCACTTAAGGTTTTCGGTGGGGGCCTTTGTCATGGGAATAGATAGGCTATTTATTCTAAGTTATAGAACTGAGGGCCCCTGTGTGATTGTGTCGATGTGGCTGGAATGGGATGAGGGTGGGTGTATTCAGATATCCTGTGATTTTATATATTACTGGAAACCCCCAACTGGAACGGAATCCTATATATAGGTCAATATTAGAAGCTGTTAGACTAGTCTGCATTTTAGTATCAATATCTGATAGGCCTGAAAAAGAACTGCCCCACAGGTCAACACCTGGGAGTCAAAGTCTTCCTCAACAGTTAGTGTGTGTCTGGATAATTGCGCGCCCCCTGTGGAAGTGGGGAGTATAGAATATAGACCAATGTGGCAAGATTAATTGAACTGGGACAGAGAGCAGAAAATTACAGTAACTTTTTCTGATACCATTACTTCAATTTGATCTTTCTAGCTGCCTCCTCAATAACTTGTGATGGAGGAGAAGCATCAGCTTCCATCTTCTATAGCAACAGTCCTAGTCCTACAAGTATTGAACCTAGAAATCCATAATTACACACTCATGTGACGGTAGATTGAAAATAATTCCTAGCTAGGAGTCTTATTTGGGTATCATGTGAGCCTTAAATAAAGCACGTGGAAAATGAAATATGGTTTAAATGTCTTTACCTTCTAGAACCTGTATCCTTGTTCCCTACTCTGTTACTCTTAGTGCTCTCTGCTCTCTCCCTTTTCTCTGGTATCATAACTTATACCCAGGAAAAGGAATGAGAATTCTAGTGTAACTTAGGTGTTTAAATATATAAATCCCTAATATGGCTTAATATGTCACCTTTCCTGGGATGACTTTCATTTAAAAGACATATGAGCAACTTGGTGCTAAAGCAACAAATCTTTGTAGGAACCTAGGGGCTGGAAAGGGGGTGGGGAATGAAAAGAAAAGGCCTGTTCAGGACCTCAAAATCACGCCATGGACCAAATACCACGTGTAAGGCCAGGCCCATTGCAGGGTGACTGTACACCTTGACATGCTTGTCCTCCACAAAGAGTTCCTCAGACAGGAAGAAGAGTCTCTGACACCCAAGTGAAGAAGGCAAAGGCTCTGCTGTAGTGGTTAGTGGCCTACTGAGCACACGTTTCCTGTATGGCTACAATCCCTGGAAATGCCAAAGGCATTCATCAATAACACTGCAGTTACATCATTTATGCGCACATCTGAATCATTCCTAACACTCTGAAACAGACATGCACTGGATGTCAAGCCATGACAGGGCTTCTTTTAGAGAGATGGTGGTTAAAAAAATAGAGTGAGTTCTGGAATAGCTTTTCCAAAGGCTTTTGCCCAAACAATCTGGCTATGCTGTCTCTAAATCTTGAACTAACAAAAACAAAGAAATCCTAGTTCTTAAATGAGACGTGCAGGTGACCAGCACTCTGCAGAAAATTCTCCCTTGGGCAATGCCTGATGACTACGGAGGACTGGATGAATGATATTCACTTAACTGTATGGATGACTCCTATCCTATCACATTACACATACATTTTGGCACTACTGACACCAGCAACATTTAATGGAATTGTTTGGGATTTTTCCCCCCATCACAACATGGCTGTGGCTAGTACAGGGGAATGCATGTTAAGGGTGTTTCCCACGTTCTGGCTGAGGATACACAGTGACGAGTTTTGAAACAAGTTGCGCTGTACATGCATCACTCTGAAGGGTGTGCACATTCTTGACTCAGGCAAATTCAAGGGTCAGATTACTGAGGTCAGTGGAAATGCTGAGCTTTAAACATTGCCCCTGAAAGGAGTGATACACCACACCCAGCAACCCACTTCTGCAATGGAAGGGAATGACAGGGGCATGCACAAGAGAAAAAGTATGGATTCTGAAGAAAATGGGAATCTTAGGTGCTCCTGAGGATATCTGTGGAATAGCACAGTTTTGGATGGATTGGGTATTGGTTCCCACCTATCTGTGATACAGACAGGGCTGACTTCTGAATTCTTCCTCGTGCATTTCACTGGCTTCTTATTCTGAAATTAAGTAACATCTAGAACTTAACAATGCTCATCCTTTCCTTCGAGCAGACCAATGCAAACATCAAGTTGAAAAAAAATGACCAATTGGGGCCAAACACGGGTTTAGAAAGATGAAATTATCCAGCTGACAGCTTTTATGATGGGAAGATAGGAAACAATGTAATGTAATATGTTGGGTAAATGGATTTGGAAATTTCGTCTTGTGGTAAAGAGAGAGAGGCTGCCACCCTCCACAGAGCCAGTGAAAGAAATTCTATTTGTCTGGTTAACCCAAGGTCAGTTTTTGAACATCTGGCTTGAGGCCAGTAGCACCTTCCTGATGGCAGTAATCAGGACAAGGCAAACACAGAACCACCACTGGCATCATTCCTCACATACCCACCCTCCTACCTCTAAAACCAACTGCAGCAACTTTGCTAAGGGGATCATCTAGCCACTGAGTTTTGAGAAGATCTGGTCATCTTTTCTAGAAAGGCATGCGAATTTGTGAGACAAGTATCCAGTGCTACCTTTCCGTAACCAGATATCATATGCTTCAAAAAGTAGAGTTAGTGGAAATTTTCTGGGTGTGCCTGCGGTGCTGATTTCTAAGGGAGGGGGGTGGACCAAGGAGAGGGTCAGTGCCCAGTACTGGGAAGAAGAGCCTCAGATGACTGAGCTGGTTGTTAAGCGTCAGAGGAGGTTGCTGGCAGATTTGAACTTCCTGAAACCTCTCAGCCACACCAAGAATGGGAGGTTAATGTGACCTCAATTCTGTTTTAAGCCCTTTTGGGAATCTTTGCTGCCCTAGGTACTGACATGGGGAATATGGTGCCACCAGCCTGTCTTTGCATGGCCCCTACGGTCTACCTAGAAGATAGATAGGAGTTAGACCTGGGGCTTGCGTAGAGCCAGATTGGACCCTCTGTGAAGCCCAGGTAAAAGCACACTGACATTTCTCACCGACCAGTGAGAAGACTGCTCTGGTGAGGGGGCGTGGACACAAACCCCTTTCCCCTGGCTTTTTCACCAAAGTGGCCTCCATTCGCATCCGCTTTTCCAGACACCCTGAAGCACGATCCATACAAAACAATTTCCCCTGATGGAAAATGAAAACCCATAACAAAACACTTTCCCCCTCCTTCCCATCCCCACCCCACTCCCTCCAGCCCAATACCCTGAATACTCACAAGAGAACACTTTATCTATACAAAATTAATTAGAAAACAAAATATTTACATATGAAATAAACACCATCTTGATTTCTGTCGCCAGTGGAGACTGAAAAAGCCCCCTTGGTTCTAGATTGCTGTTCGCTAGGTTAGTTGGTTTGGTTTTTTTTTTATTTTAAAGGGGTGAGGTAAGAGGAAGATGAGGGGATGAGCCCCTGACCCCCAGACAGAGTCGGGGCGAAGCGATGTTTAGATGGCCCTTCGCCTTCTTCCTCCTGGAGAAGCCTCACGCCCTCTGTCCTCTCCCAAAGTCTCTCCTTGATTCTAAGGTAAAGCACTCGTGCCCCTCTCTGCAAAGCTGTGAGAGGTTCAGCCCCTTGCCCCCACGTTCATTTCGGAAAGAAAACAGAGCTTTACAAGGCCTTCAGTTGGCTTTAAAATGAAAGATACTGAGGTAAAAATCAAGGAGGAGGGTGGGGGCAGCAGTCAAGGGTGGGGATGAGGAAGGGTCTCGAATCAGGGCAAACGGGAAGGCAAAGAGCAGCCCTGGAGGGTGTGACTTGAAGAGACATGGCAGCTTCCTTCCAGAGGAGGATGAGCACCTTTCTGGTTTGTGTGTCCTGTGTGCAACATGGCGGTCCTGCGGTCAAGCTTCCAAACAGACCCGGGGCTCTTTGGATGCCACCCTGTGCAGGGGAGGATGGCAGGACAGTGGAACTGACCCACAGAACAGCCCTACCCCAAGTTTTGGGACCGGCAGTGACAAATATTCATTTCCCTTCTCCATTTTCCAACTTTAAGTGAAGGGGGCATCATACATGCCAGTACCCTCATCCCTGGAGTTTTATACATATTTTTTTTATTCTTGAATGGTACAATCCGAGAGGGAAAGGAGGTGTTGCAGGAAGGTGAAAGGGCCTCTACCAAGAGTGTTCACTCTGGGCTCAAGTCACATTCCCAGGGAGCCAGGCCCAAAGAGGTGGTGGAGAGTCCCTCCCCGCCTCCCTTCCCCCTCTTCCAAGTCTCTTCCCTTCTTTCTGCGCCTCCTGAGCTGCACTCACAAAGCCGAGCTCATTTCTCACAGCTGTCTGTTCCATAACAGTTGTAATCAGTTCTGGGGAAGAAGCCTGCTCTTCTAGCTTCAGGTTAAGTAAGAAGGGATCAAAGCATTGAAAACATCCCCCTCTCTCACTTACCCTACCATAAACGACTCTTCTTCAAAGCCTCACCTAGCTCTTCCCCAAACCTTGGCCCGTTGAGGGTCTAAAAGCTCAAGAGAACTATATAGAATCTTTCACTCCCAAGTGTGGGCAAAATAATTATGGCTGCTTCTGTTTCCCTTTAGCCTTCCTGGAAAGTTCTTGGCCCAAACTGGTTGCAACTATTGGCAATCACTGAGAAATCATTGTTGTACCTGCTCTCGCAGGACTGCTTGCCACCTTCTTTGTCTAGACCACAGAATCTTCTTCGTCAAGAACTTCCTTTCTTCTCATTCAGGAAGGCCGAAGGGGAGACAGCCCAAATTCAGGTAACATGTGACCATCTCTGTTTGTATATAAGCCAAAGCAAGCACATTGCTTAGGGATGTTGCAAGAGTCAAGGTGACCTTCTCTACATTTAGAGGCACCTGACTACACGTGTGTGCAAGTGTATATGACTACACACGCGCACACGATCCACCTGCTCTTGCCTCCAATGCACCATGAAACTCTATTATATGTACTTTCCAGTTCAATAATCCACCCATCCACCAGTGACCGTTCAATCCAGCTAACCACTAATGAGTCTCATGGAGTAGAAGCAAACTTTTTTTGGCTTATATATAAACATGGCCTGGCACCCTCTGCTTGGCACGTGATCCCAAGACTGATATCATCTAAGCAACAAGAGTTGCCAAAGCCTCTTTTCAATCACAAGCAGTATGCTACATGGTCTCACTAGAATGCTTTTGCTTCCTCACCTCAATGACAGGATCAGTTGGGGAAAAGCTACCTCTGTGCTCAGGTGGCCTCCTTTGGTTCTCCTAGCTTCACTCAAAGTGGGTGGCAAGGAGCTCTTGCCTACTAGGAGGAAGCCTGCATGCAGCACCTCCTTTTTCCACTCCAGCCTCCCCTGCTGGGAGGGCCGATTGCGTCGCATCATGGGAACAGGAAGGGCTGACAGATGGGGGAAGGAGGAGAGAACTGGGAGGAGGAAGAGAGATGGTGCTGGTCACCAGGGTTGCCCTCCGTAGGAACCAGAACTCCAGGATCCCATAAATAAATTAAAACAACAAGAAAGGATCAAATGGGAACCAAGTTCACCCCCGTCACCCTCTGTGTCATGCGCGCCACACGACCCAGCCTTACCCTCCCATACCCACCTTAACCTCTCTCTTCCCTCACTCAGACATCAGACTCAATACTAGAAAGTTTCTCATAAACATGCCCATTGCTGGAGCCATTGAAAGCCCTGGGGTTTTTGTTGTTAGGCACACAGGGGTTGGACTGGTTCCCTATACAGATGTCCTTCTGGAAACGGCCTGGCACAGCCCCATGAAGGGCCGAGACCACCGGCTTGTTGGTGACAAGGGCCCGGAAGTCCGGCCTGGCTTTCGATGCCCCCGCCACCGTGGGCTGCCTGAAGAAGTAGGATTTGCTGCCATGGAGCAAGCACTGGTCGTCCCCAAAAGTGGGGATGAAAGGGTTTTGCGTGACCCGGTCAGGGTAGAGCGACTTGCTGAGCATGTAGCCGCCGCTGCTGCCACCGCCGCCGCCGGGGTTGTTGTGGTGGTGGTGTCCGGCCGCGGGCGCCGAGGGCTTGTTGTTGGCAAAGGTGCTCTCGCCGGCTGGCATCTCAAACATGTGCGCGTAGGGGCTCCCATCCATGAACCGGCCCTTGTCTTTCAGGCTCACGCTGCGCGGGGCCAGGGCGGCTTCTTCCTTCTGCAGGTCCACGAAGGTGTCGTACGAGTGCTGCCGCCGCAGCTTGTTCCGGTTCTTCTTCTGGGCCTTGGAATTAGTCGGGCTCTGCGGGTACTTGGCGGTGGAGGCGTTTGACGTCGCCGCCACCGGGGCCGCCGGCTGGTCCAGCTCCTGCAGGGAGTTGTCCTCGCTGATGTCGTACAGGTTCCCCGCCTTCTTGCACGCCTCGCAGCGGATGCACGCCTGCCGGCCCGAGTTCTGGCCCGGCGCCGCCGCCGCCGAGTAGTTGTGCAGCTTGGAGGGGCAGCTGCGGCAGAAGTTGCCCCCGGCGCGCTCCTCCCACTCCACGTTGGTCAGGTTCTTCTCCCAGGGCGCCGGGACCCCGCCGACCACGCCGTGTTTGTCGCCCGCCGCGTGCTTGAGGTGGGACCTGTTGGTACAGGGCCCTCCCCCGCTGACCGAGTCGCGCTTGAAGTCCTCGCTGCGCTCCTTGTAGATGTCGGTCAGGTCCACGTGCTCCCAGTGCGGCGAGTTCTCCTTGGTTCGGAACTGGTCCAGGTAGAAGTCCCGCAGCCCTTCCTTGTCCCTGAAGTAGCGCTTGTGGTCGGGGGAGCGCGGCGGCCGGCGGCGGTAGGCCAGCTCGATCTCGTCGAACTCCCGGCGGGACTTGGCCGAGGCCGGCCGCTTCTTCAGGCTGTCCTTGTACTGCTGCTTGCGCCGCTTGGCCGCGTTGCCCTCGATGTTCCCGTAGGTGACGGTGTGGGTGGAGATGTCGGACACGTCGGAGCGGATCAAGTCGTCGTGGCCGCTGTAGCGGTCGCTCTTGAAGGAGAATTTGCCGTACAGGTCACTGAGCTGGCTGTGTTTGGAGGAGGGCAGGCCGATGTCCAGGGGCTTCTTGCTGATGGACCTCGGCTGGGTGGTGAAGGGGGGGTTGTCACAGTCGTAGAGCCCGTCGATGGAGCTGGCGCTGCCGATGCTGTGCGGCCGGTGGTGGTGGTGATAGTGATCTTGGTACACGTTGCTGTCCTTCAGCTGCAGGTTACCGAACGTTCTCTCCACCTCGCTGATGTAGTCGCTGAAGAGGTTCTCCTCGCAGGGCGGGTTGTTGTAGGATTTGCAGTCGGAGTGCGTGAAGCTGCGGCGGTGCTCGGAGATGTCATAGACCGACGACTCGCGGCGGATGAAGTCCAGGGCGCTCTGCGGCGAGCCGTTCACCCCGGACAGGTTAGCCATGTTCTTGGCCGTGCGCAGCAGGCGCAGGATGTTGGAGTGCGTGTTGTTCATGGTCGCGGTGGGGGAGTTCATCACGGACTGGCGCTCCTCGATAGCCACGCCGTGGATGCAGCTGTAGATGCCCTGGAGCAAGAACAGGATGGGACGGATTAGGTCTCCAGAGAGGCAAAGGGTGACCATAACAAATATTTTCACCACTAATTGCCCAACTGCATAAGGAAAAGTCAGGGAAAACATGAAGCAGGCAGCCTGATATACTCACAGAAAGATGTGGCTAGAAGCTTGCCTGCTTTGGACACTTGAATGTAGCGAGTTTCACGTTACGAGCTGAAGTCAGTGATCTGGCCATGAAAGAGGGGCCGTGGCCTTACCAAGCAACTGGAGCTAATAGGCTAGAATTGCAAGACACAGCCTTCCTGCCTCAACTCCACCGCTGACTTACCTTTGTTTTCCTTTCTATGCCCTGATTTTTACATCTTAAAAATGAGGCCAGGATATCAATCCATAGCAAAAAATACTGTCAGCCTTCCGGAAATAAGTGGCAATAGATGCTGAGGTTGTTCTGCCCTGGCTGGCCACTCTTGGCCGGCAGCAAAACACAGGGGAGCTCAGTAGCTTCCAATCGCCACTCTTTCCCAGCTCTGACAAATTTTGAGCAGCTTTTAGAATTTTGGTCACCAAATAACAGCTGAGCAATTCTCTTCTTGAGCCAAGCGTGAACAAAATTCACAGAGAGAGAGAATTAGGAAGCCCTGGGGTCAAAGAAGGATTTTTTTCTGCTGTGTTCTACACTGTGGGAGGGAAGAATTGGGACAAATACCCAGTACTAAATAGGAATAAATAACTCCCGTGTTGAATTCTCTCCTTTGTTCTTTCTTTGGCTCCTGTTTTCCTTCTTGTACTTTCTCACTCACCTAATATTATCATAAATAATTAATGTCTTAACAAATTAGTATTGATCCAGCACTCCCTGCGTATAGCTCCTTGGGCAGGGCTTTGAAGAACTCCGTCCAGGGGAGGAAATGGGTTGGGTTCCTGGAGGGCTCAGTCTGTTTGGTTCTAAAGTCAAGCCATCCTACCACTCACATCTTGCTCCCTGCCTTGGGCAAACTTGGAATTTTCTCTGGGGCAAGGGAAGGTATTTAAAGAGGAGGTTGTTTGTATTATGTCTTTCCAACAAAGGGGATTAGTTTGGAAAGGGAAGTTGTCCCAGTGGATGCGGATGGGACCAGAGGTTTAGAGGAGGTGAGCTTCATTGTCCCACAGGGCATCAGCAAGATAGATCTTTTAGTTGTGATTACTCCAGGTGCTTTCCTAGTCCTTCCTTCCAACCCTTCTTGATCAAGGCTAGGAGAAAATGCCAAGCATTTTTCCTCTATAGAGGCATTAATTGTGTCAAAGGGTTATGAGTGGGATTTCTATTACAGGTCACTAGCTTCCGTTGCTTCTGGCATCTACCTGAGACCTTAGGAAAGGGCTACACAGTGGGACAACTTGGCTCAGGGACCAAAACTGCCACAGTTCCACCTTCCTGCCCTGATGCCACTCGATGGCCTGAATCAACTCACAGCCAGAGAGCAAATGGAGACATTGTTCTCTAGCAGTAAAATGCTACAGGAAAACGATCAAATGATGAAACAATTTAATGAGAAACCCATTTTCTTACATAACTCCATTTGAGTTGAAGTTGATCATATATGGATTGTGGATCTCATCTCTCATGAATGAGTCTCACAACTTCATTAACAAAATCAAAAGAAGTCCACTTTTTTTTTTTTTAAGAAACTCCTGTTCACATACAAAACTGCGTTCCTAATGTCTAACTTTGCACTAGAAATGAAGAGAGACCTGAATAACGAATGACCTAAGCGTTATGCTCTTGCTCCAATTAAAGAAGTTTCTGGAATATAAATTTCTTATGAGTCAGAACTTATTTCTGAAGGCTCTGTTAAGCTCTTTAACTCCTCATAACCCACAACATGGCTAAAACACAGAGTGGAACCTTGAAATCACCAATAATAACATATCTTTGTGTATGTTAGAATAAGAGAAATATGTAACATTTCATTATTTAAATAGAAATGTGATTTTTCAAAAGGATTAAATGATTAATGCAGCCTATATAGAATTAACTAATGGTGATGAAAGGCAATTAGTAAAAAGCCAAATTTTCCATTTTGATAGATCTGCCAGTTCTTACAGAGAACTGAATGCCCATGTCTCACACAGAAAGCTGTTTCTGAAGGAAATATAGTGCCACCCATTTTTTTGAGCCACTCGAAATTACATCATACAAACTCCTGGGGAAATGCAAGTGCTGTGGTTTCTTGCTTTCACAACGTAAGACTGGAGTTAGTGCCCTCTTGGGTCTCTCTGCCTTACGCAGTGCTAGGCTGAGCTGTCTTTAACAAGCTGTAGACATTTAAATCAAAGCACTTACTCTGCTGATGGAGAAGACCATGCCAGGCTTGCCAGAACAGACACCCATAAAGCAATGCCGGAACTGCCAGTAGAAAAGGTGTTCGCAGATGAAGGTGATAAGGCTGAGTGCCATGGCTGCCCCCAACATATAGAAGACTCCCGCCATGTTGTCAATGTCCAGCTGGCTGCTCATGACCTCATTCTTCTCATTGTGGCAAATGCCAGTGAGCCAGAGGGCTTCTAGCTCTTCCATCTCCCCTGGAGACAGAACAGAGAAGGAAAACAGATAGAGACAAGAAGAGTGGAGAAAAACATATACAGAGAGAAAGAGACAAGGAGACAAAAAGAAAGAAAATGAACAGAGAAAGATAACAGTAATTTTGTTAATACCATTATATATGAATTCATCAATGTACTCGATAAGTATTCAGTGAAGACTTAATGTGAGTACTATAGGTGATACAAAGACATGAGATGTTGCTTCTGCTGTCCAGTATAAGTGGGTATGTAAATAACCAGTATGACAAGCTATATGCAGGTAACAGGAGTTCAAAGCAGCGAGAGTAATTCTGCAGATGGCGTGGCTAGTGGGTTTTCATGAATTGTGGACTTGGAGGTGGGCGTGGTGGATGGGTGAATTTTAATTTACATTGTGCGAAAGGGCAATCCAGGCAGCAGGAATAGCATGATCAATGGGGAAACACAAGGCTTGTTCATGGAAAGGCATGCAAAACAGTTCAAACAGAATAACAGTAGGCAAAACAGCGGAATAAAAAAGATTGATGCAAGAGTGCTGAGGACCTGAGTATCAGACTCAGTGCTCTGCACTTTATTTTATAGACAGTGGGGAATAACATAATCAAACAAATGATTCCGAAAATTGCGCAAAGCAGATTGGGTAGGGAGAGGAGAGACAGAGAGAGATTGATTAATTCCCTAGGGCCCCTCAGATTTGCTGATCTCCAGTGTAGAGGAAAACATAAATATAAAGAGCAAAGAGGAGTGAGTTGGATAAAATTAGACCACCAAATTCAAACCTGCCTCCTTTTAATATTATTTAAGGATGCTTTGATTACTTCAATTCATGTAAGATTTCAATAACCTTTATTCCCTTTGCTAGATACTAGGAAGTAGAAAGATACAAATCCCAGGAAAAAGAAAAATACAAGAAATCATGTGTGCCAGAATGCATCCCATCATAGACAAGCAAAATCCTGAAAACCTCATGAAGAAAATTGCCCATTCCAATAGTTTCAGTTTGGTCAAAAATCTGAACTTTGTTTGCATCATCTGACTAAAGCTTTGGTAACTTTTGCACATCATCTCTGCTGCTGCTCTTCCTGATAGATATAGGCTCTGTTAATTGCCTTTAAGTGACAGCTACACTAAAATTACAGAAGCTCTTATACCAACATGGCTAGTTAACACTCCAGCTAGGATGCCCTACTCTTTCCAATGTTAATCAAATCACTTTTTACTGATTTCTTTGATCAAACTATGATTCTCCTAACTAGTGGAGCAGCCCACTTCACCTGGAGTCTGAAAATCCACCTGTGGTTGTCTGCTTCTGATCTCATCCCTAACAGCAATGCTTCTGCAGACACAATTTAGAGAGCCACTTGGCTCATGGCTGGTGGAGCCAAGTGGAGTCAGGCTGCTCATCCGTAACTGGATTAGATTGTGTGAGGCTAACAGAAAGAGTCAGTACTTTGGACAGCAAAGGGAAGAGGAATGCAGAAGACAGGAGTATAATGAAATAGGAGATGAGATTTTCCCAAATCAAGTTGGCTGCTCAGTCAGCATTAGGATGACACTGGGGAGTAGCTGATGGTGTCTGCCTCTGAGGCTGTCTAGTCCTGCCTCTTGTAGCTGCGAGAGTATGACAGAAGAGAGGGAAGAATGAGTAGAGGGTCACAAGCTTATTTCTTTGCCCTTTCTCTGGGCACATAAAGAGCAGAGACCTTCCACAGTTCAGTCTACTATGTTGGCCACACGTGAGATGATTGGTTGGAACACTTAATATCAGCCTTTCTTCATTTATCCCTGAAGGTTTGATTATAGCCTGCAACCCAGAAACATACCTCCTTGACAAACTACGCTAATCCTCTCCCCTCATCTTTCACCCTGTTATGGGTTGAAAGATGTTATAATATCCTCCTAAAACCCATACGTTGAAGTCCTAATCCCTGGCACCTCAAGATGTGACTTTATTTGGCAATAGGATCATTGTAGATGCAATTAGTTAAAATGAAGTTATCCTGGAGTAGCATGGGCCTCTAATCCAATATGACGGGGATTGTTAAGAAAAAGGGAAATTCAGACATAGACAGGTACAGAGGGAAAATATGCACACAGGTAGCACACCAAGTGAACACGAAGGCAGAGATTGGGGTGATGCTTCTACAAGATAAGTAATGCCAAAGATTACAAGCAAACCACCAGACGCCAGGAGAGAGGCATGAAAAGATTCTCTCTCAAAATCCCCAGAAGGAACCAACCCTGCAGAAACTTTGATTTCAGACATCTAGCCCCCAGAACTGTGAGACAAGACATTCTGTTGTTTAAGCCTCTTGGTTTGTGGTCCTTTGTTATGGCAGCAATAAGGAAACTAATATATACCACCCAAACTTTACAATATACTGTGAAATGCTTTTCTGGAAATAGACATGCTAAAGATATGGAGAAGGAGAAAAGGTTGGTGTTTTGTACTGGGAGTTGGTAGAAGACAAATGGGCACCTTCCTTTAACTTACCATCTCCAAAGAGCTGCAGGATGGCAAGGTCCACCTGGCGCTTCCACCCAGAGTCTTTCTGGATGGCGATGCCATAACCAGTGGAGGCAAAGACCTTCCCGCTGCCAATGGTCACCAGCTTGCAGCCTTCATCTCTGCCTGCCATGTAGTTCAGCACTGCTGCATCATAGATGAAGGCATCCAGTTTCCTGTGCAAGAAGAAAGCAAACAAACAAAATCCAACGGAGGAATTTCAGAACAAAACTACCTATGGGGCCATTAACATAAAGCAGTAGGGTTCCAGCAAACTATTGGGAGAACTGGTTCAAAGTACGGTTTAAGTTGGAACTCTGCCAGAATCTAAAGCCTAAATCCCAGACTGTTCTTTATGAGATTTCAGGTTGAAAAGAGAAGTTCTTTTCCTCCCACTGGGAATGATGAAAATGTAAGTTGGGCCTGAAGCCAACTCATAAACTGTGTCTGAAAAGGAGAGGGAGTAAAAAGGAATCAATAAAAATAATAACAGAAATAATGAAAAGTAACCACCACAACAATAGCAACAAATAGCATGGGTTAGATTTATATAACATTTTTCATTTCTCGGTTCATTACAGTCCGGAGTGGGGATAAGTGTAGGTGTGTGTGTTCCAATAGACGTGCAGTACTATTTTTGTGGTCAGAAATGTTCCAATATTCTGTTACGCAGCACAAGGATAGAGGTGAGGGGTGGGATGGTGGTGGCACAGGCTTGTGTGAGAGCAAAAGTTTGACATTACAAGAGAAAGAAACATCTAGAAGAACTCAGATGTCTCAAATTCCTGAACATATGAAAACCTCATTTCATGTATTGCTCTTTGCAAGGAAGGAATATATAGGAAGGGAGGAAGGCCAGGATTAGGGACAGGAAGGCATGAATCCATATTTAAAACCAATCAAAGGCAGAGGAAGTAATTAAGATATAGCCATACAAGTAATAGCGAGGTCTATAAGGAAGAAAATCATGCATCTCCCCCTTCACTTTTACAGGTTAAGTAGATTTGTTCCTCCTTCAGGATAAAAAACAAGCCCTTCTGGCATGATAAGACACAGAACATTTTATAAAAGGAACCCTATAGAAAGCTCTGATATGATTGAAAACTGTGGGTGCACAAGGGGTCAGACTGCCAAAAGTGGTCCTACCCTCAAGCTCAAATCCCATCTTCTGAAATCTCCTGTGACTTTATTTATGGTGGTAAGATGGAATTTAATAGGATTTTAAGTAACCGTGTGTCTAGGTGGCTCTTCTCGGCCTGGAGGTGCAGGGGTGTTGAGAGGAGGCCCAAATGCTGCTGGTTACCATACAACGAAGGAAATGCTACAAGACCGTCTAGGCCCCCAAATGCCAGCATGTATAACGTGCAATTATCTATCATATTCCACAGCTGTAGGTTCTGGAGCCCAGATCAACAAAGGGACAGTGTGGCTGAGACTGTGTAAGCCAACACATTTGTAGTTCACAAACTCCTCTAAGTAAACAAACACTCCTTAGAGTACAGAGCTGGATCACAAAGAATGCCAACAAAAGCTGAAATTGGAAATCCTTTGACACATTCTTCTAAACACTTTTACGTTTTTCCTTTTATTTCTCCCTTGTTTCTAAGACACCAGAACCGTCATTTTCACCTCTTCTGACAAAAGGTCTTTATTTCATATGTAACACAGGAACCTCATCCTGGACTCTTCCCTCCTACTTTTACATCCATATCATTTCGGTTTTATGGTTATAGTAACACAAATAGAAAATACATAGAAATAAATAATAGCATAGGAATCTTTGTACACTGGCCTGAATTATACCATCAAATTTAACTTGGAAATCCATAAAGAGCAAATGAAGTCTTCTTTGATTTAACCTTTTCTGGCACCAGGCATGCAATACTGGTACCTCTGATTCAATATATGTATAATAAATGTGAGAAACATGTGAAGGACTCTGAGCTTGGAAGCAGTTCTTACCCTGTTTTCAAGGAGAGCAATGCATCATCTACACCCCTCTGGTTGAACTTTCCCATGTAGGCATGCATTTCCGCGTAGTTATTGCGAATGTTCCTCTCTGTGCTGCCATTGGGCACAGTCCCAAAGCGAAAAGGGGGTGAGAAGTCATTAGGTCTCTGGAACTGGAGAAAGAAAAAGAGAGAGAGAGAACAGTTTAGAAAATATGAAGAGACATTAAGTTGGCATTTGTGGATTTATAATGGAAGAGACCCAACTATAATTCACCAAATACATTAGCCCTCACTCAGGAGCCACAATTGCTATCTGAAAGTGGATTTCAATTCAACTCAATTTAATACATATTGTTGAGAGATTTCTATTTGCCCAGCCCTAACTTTAATCTATAACTCTTCTGTGTTCATTTTATGAATACTGCACAATGCCGGTAATGATGGGCCAAAAAAGGAAAGTACTGTTAGCTTAACTGCAGCAGACTAGTCACTTCTATTTCTGCAAATTATGTAAAATTTGCATTCGGGCCTCTTAATTTAAGGGCCTAAATACCTTGTCATTGTGTTTGTAACGCTGCAGGACCTTAGCAAGGTGAGCTATATTGCACTCCTGAAGATAATTTGTTGAGTATCAAATAGGTTTTGCTAAGAAATTTTCTCTTGACCTTCCCTGATGTGCTCAGAGCTCATATTTACCCCACATGAGTTGCAGGATAAATTGTAAAATCAAAGACAATTTTAATTATATTCCTCCCCTTGCTTAAGAACGGAGAGTGGATTTCCAGTCCGATCGTAATAAAGTGAAATCTCTTGGATGTTCACTCTTATTACATCAGCTTTATTTCTGGCTATTACCCTGCAATGAGTAAGTCTTTATGTTGCTTCCTGAACACCTAATTTGTTCATTTGTATCTTCACAGCCTCATACGGTCCATCTCCTCAGCATAAACTCATCTTTCTCTCTAGGCCAATTCGTGTCCTTCACTTCAAAATATAATTTAAAGCAATTTCTTCAGGATACCTTCCGTGAATTCTTTCTTCCATCCAGTCTACCCAAAAGTGACCCATCAGTACTTGTTATTCTTGGTTTAGATCTTGTAATTCACACTACAAATTCAATTACTGTCTAAATGTGCTGGCTAGGTTATGAGAGCTAGTCTCTGATGCAGTTAGTGAGTTTAAGCTCTAGATGGAAACAGATGGATTTTTGAAGACCAGCCCTGCCACTTACTACTGTGTGACCTTGGGCAAGTAACATAAACTCTCTGGGCATCATTTCCTCATTTGTAAGAAGGAGACAATTAATGCCTAGCTTCTAAGACTGTTGTGAGGATTAAATGATATAATGTATGAGAAGTCCTTGGTACAGCACCTGGCACACAGTAAGTGCTCAATTAATGTTCCCTTACATTATTTTTCATTCGTGTCTATATTCTGCTTTCCTAGTAAGTTTCTGGCTCTCAGCTTCCCATTCTATTACTATAGCAGTGATCATGTAGACTATGACCAGAGTAGCTCTGCTGTGGCCTGCCATAGGAAAGATGATGAGGATATTTAAAGTCCTCTTGTTTTCAATACCATTTGCTTTGGAGATAAATTTGAAAATCTAACCTTCCAACTCAAGAGCTCTCTGAACCTTTGGAATTGTCTGGGCTTGGAAGCAATTCTTTTCCTTCTCAGAATATGGGGGGTTTTCACAGAAAGCAAAATACCACAGCACCAGGAACAATAAACGCCATCTTAATTGCTCAGTGTTGGCCATGGTTAAAAGTAAAGTCATGCGGAGCTGGTAGGCAATCTGTGGTGCATTAAAAGACTCCCACTTCCTGCCTGAAAGAGCTTCCACTTTCGCCCATCACAGTGCTTTTTGCCATTAATAGTTTTTGTTTTATTGTTTTTAAAGGAGTTATGATTTTTAAGTGAATAAGGACACTAAAAAAGAGGCAAAAAATTTTAGAACTGAATAGGCCACTCAAGGTTAACTAGTCCGAACCTCTCGTTTTACAAATGATGAAACTGAAGCCCAAAGAGGGTAAGTAATTTGCTCAACATCACGCAGTGACGGTGGTGGCTACCACGCTCAGGGCCCCAATGGCCCAGTGATCGCTCACTGCCCCAGCAAGTAAAGTAAACATGGGTATGCTTTACAGAGAGACAGACACCAGAATGCTTTGCATATCACTGTGAAATAAAACACTTCAGATGTTTGAAGAAAGGTATTCAACAAATCAAAAGTAAACACTATATAAATAATAATTAATTATCTTTAATCAGTAATTCTCCCACTTTGCTAGCACAATGACAACTAGTGCTCAGAATAACTAAGATACTCTAGGGTGCGAAGTATTTTCTGAAACATCAACGAAAATTGTAATCATGGCCAATACAATTCTAGTATAAATTATTATACTCTAATTTTTTTGAAAATTGGCAATCCAAGCAAGGTATATGCAGCCATTTTTGATTAACCACATGGAATCCAATGCCCAGAGTGCCTCACTTCCCGATGAAACTACATTACAGGATATTTCCATACAACTCTATAGAAATTTTTAACTTTAAATTATTTTTAAATTTCTAGATGCTGTTTTATAACTGTATTCCTGAATAACTAAAAACTAAAGAAATGATAAAGGATCTAGCATAGCTAAGACAACTTTGAAGAAAAACAAAATTAAAGGACTTATACTACCTGACTTCAAGATTCATTATAAAGCTACAGTAACCATGACAGTGTGTTATTAGCATAGAGATAAAGAGATCATCGGAACAGAAGAGAGTGCCCACTAATAGACTCATACATAAACAGTGCAAAGGCAATTCCATGGAGATAGGATGGTCTTCAACAAATGGTGTCGGAACAATTAGATATCCATGTGCAAAAAAAGAACTTCATTTCACACCTCACAAGATACACAAAAATTAACTCAAAGTGGATCATATTTCTAGGAGAAAATACTTGTAACCTTGAGAGAGACACAGATTTCTTAGATACAACACCAAAAGCACAATCTACGAAAATAAATAAATAAATGAATAAATAAAAAGATAAAAGACAAACTGGGACTTAGAGACAAGATGGCTGACCAGAGACACCAGCTGCCAGTTCATCTCAGAAAGAAGGAAAAGTTTTGGATGAAAAAGAGAAAACAAATAAACAAACACAGATCAGGTGTAATTGCGAGGGAAAAGTGTCAGAACCTATAAGAGATTCCATAGGAAGAAGCTGAGGAGCAGAACAAAGAGCAAAATATCGGCAGGGGCCAACCCCTGAGAGGCTTAGATTCAGAGAAAAGGGTAGGTGGAGCGGTTTCTCCCTCCCCCACATCCCTGGCAGTCAGCAGGCACCCGGGCTGCAGGAGAGCCTTTCTACACTCAGGAGCCCCAAAGCTGCTGCCACCAGTGAACTGGGAGCTTCTTGAGGACAAAACACCAGGCTGCCAGCCCCCTTGGGTTCACTTTCTGTCACCATAGACCTGAGCTGGGATGGCAGGTGTCAAATTGCTTCTCCACCTGTCACACACCTATGTCCTCCCCATGGGGCTTCAGCCCTGCGTTTTTTTGTCTTGCTCATTCCCACACAAAGATTTCCCAATGTTGGTCTAGACTACAGGAGCCACAAGGAGCTGGTGGGTCCTGGGGTCTCCATGTGAACCCCAAGCCTGGAAATTCCATGTGAGCTGGAGAGAGGATCAGAGATGACCGGAGTGCTAGTTTTCTTCAATTCATACTCTTTTTCTTCCCTGCCCCTCACCCACCCACAGCTGCCAAGAGAGACACTTGAGCCAGGGTTCTCAGGAGCTGCTGTCTCCTCTCTGTTGGGGCTTCCACTGAGAGTGAGGCTCAAACCTTTCCTCTTAAAGACCTGCAGATGACGAAGGGGTGCTCAGACTGTGAGCTTCCTGCTCACCGGCCCTCCCCAGTGCTGCCTGCCCAGTTGTTCCATCAGAGCAGGGCACACCCCAAAGCAGAGGGATGTCAAAACTGCTTGAGCACCCCATAGGCACCTTGGGGCCAGCACACTTCTCTCTGGCATGGGAAGGGATTGATCTTTGGGGATTCGGGCACAGGTCTGCAGGCCAGATCCCATACCCCCAGGACTGGATCGTGTTGCTCATAGGCAGAGAGGGGAGATTTGTGAACTAATCTTGGGAGGTGAGGGAGCCTGGGTGGGCAAAACTGAAAAGGGAGTGCAGTGTGGATCCCAGCCATGGCACACTCATCGAGCACCCCTCTCCCCACAGGAAAGCTGTGCTCTCAGCCCAGGCTGGAATCCTGGAGCTGGAAGCTCCCAGCCCACAGTGCCATCATGGGGGAGCTCAGCTAGTTTGAGCTCCTGCTTGCTGGCAGACATCAGAGGGAGACTGCAGACAAGGGGAGGGGGAGAAGAGCAAAATCTTCTCTTGACAGCCAGATTGTGGAACTCAGACAGCCCCCACCTCCACAAGCAGACTTTCTGGCTGGGTGGGGCCACCTCAGGCCCTCCCTGGAAGCTCTCCCCAGAAGCCTCGGGGTGGATCTTTGACC